CCGCCCAGAGGACCTGTTTCTCATCCGCTCCAAGCTGCATTCGGGAAGATTTATCTACAGTCTGCATCGGTCCGGGCAGGGCCGACTCTGCATGCGAGGTTCATTCCAGCAGGACCGTTGCCTAAAGTGTGTACATGGAACTATTTTCGAGCTGGTTTTCAGTAGAATCTCAGATGTTTTCCTGGAGGAATAAAAGGCTGGCTCCAGACCATGCTGAAAACCCCAGGCAAGAATCCCACATGCACTCTGAGAAGCGCTTCGTCTTTTTCCACGGCTAGTTTACGTGCAGTTAATCCTCCCAACGTCCCCTTGAAAGCCAGCCACGAACAGTCAATCCCCGTGACTTTTTTGTCTGACTAATTAAAAGCACACTCGCTATATATCAAAATCGGCCACGTCGACAGGCCCCGCTCTCTGTGCATCTCATCGTGGCTCCTGGGCCTGAGGACGACGGCCGCCCAGCCCTCTCCTGACTGCTGGGGGAGGGGTCCTGAACACTGTCGGGGCAGCTGGCCTGTCACGCACAGGGTACCAGCCACCGGGCAGCCTCTTCCTCTCACAGGACACAGGGGACCCCCAGGTCCTCACAGCCTGTCCCCTCTCCCGTCACACCCGGTCGTGGCACTGTCAGTACTGGGTTGGGGGTCAAGGTGGATTCTGTGGAAGCCCTGGAAATGTAGGACTGTGTATGGATGGTTCCGGGGGAGCAAGGAGCACCGGAATGGGCGGCGGGAGACCTTGAGCTGTGGTGTAGTCGTGACCCAATGGGTCACGTGACGTGGGGGCACCCAGGGAGGGGGTGCCCTTGCGCAGGGAGCTGTCAGCCACTGCAGCGAGCACTCCCTGCTCCCGGGTGAGCCCCTTGGTCCTGCAGGGGCACCTGGGAGGGGGGGCAGGCCAGCATCCAGCCCACCTTTGGTGCCGCTCACACCTCGACCTCATCAGCCAAGTACCCCACCTGGGGAAACTGCTCCTCCAGGGGCGTGGCTGAGCCCGACGGAGCAGGTCGGGGTGAGTGCAGCTTCCCTGCTCCCTCGCCCTCGCCCGCTGCTGCTGGAGGTGACCCCGCTCGTTGGTCTCCCCCCTCCACCCAGCCTTGCTTCCTTTCACCCTCGACTCTCGACTCTGCCGGTCAGGCCCGGGCTTGCGTCCGGAGGGGGTCCAGGCCCACAGCCGGGGGCTCGGAGCCCTGGTTGTCAGGCCTCCTGGCCTGTAGCTGCTGTGTCTGTCCGTTGCCATCACAGGCAGTTAGGGCTGTGCACAGAACAGGAGACACTCTTCCCTGCCCCAACGCTGTGACGGCGCACCCCGCCCCCCACCAGCAGGTGGTGACGCCCGCTAACCAGTCGGCTAATCACCTTCCTCTTGACCTGCTGGCCTCTTGGCCCCAGGAGCCCGCAGTTACGTGGATAGGAAGACAGGCTCCCTGGTCAATGGCTGGGAGTCCTGGGGGCCCCCTTCCTCCCAGCCCGGGGTCCTCAGAACTGGGTTGACTTAGGGAGCAGACCACGCCCTGGAGCAGGGGCCATTCTCACCCTCGAAGGTGTCATCTCCACGCCAGCACCTCGACTGCATCTTCGGAGGCTCTTCCACGGCTCCCTCAGGCCACAGCTGCGGGGCGGTGTGGCCCGTGACCGGCCCGGGGCACCCAGTGTTTGCTGGCGCGGGGTGGGCTGGCTTGTGAGAGCCGATGGTGCACGTCTCCTCCCAACTCCGCGTCCCGTGACACCGCGTTGGGTCCTCGAGTTTCAGCGAGGTGCAGTATATACACCACGGGCATTGGCAGGCGCTACAGGTGGGGCTGCCCCCCACCCACCGCGAGGGCGGGTCCTAAGCGAGCGTGTGTCATGTGCGTGTGTCTCTGTATCTCGCCCTCGCTACAGCCCCATAATACAGGCACCATCTCTGCTATGGTGGGGGGGCGGGGTGGGCCCAGAGAGGCCAGGAGCCCCCGGAGTCGCACGTGTCCACTGTGGGGGACCACGATCTGAACCCCGGTGCATGTAACTCTGCGCCCAGCTCCCTGACCCTCACAGCCCCTGTCCGTGTCCAGTTGTGTCTCCCTTCTGAGCTGGCACCCGAGCCGTTTCTGAGCACCACGACCAGAAGCTATGTCACGAGTCTTCCTCTTCTAGACGAGTTTCTGCCTCCCGGAGGGCCGGCGCTGGGCGGTGCAGGGCACCTGAACCTCTCGGGGTCTCGTTGACTTTCCCGGCAGCCAGGGTCCCTGGAACCCCCACGTGTCACACACCAGCCTCCCAGCAGGGAGCCTTGTGGCTCGGGGAGTGGTTGTCTCTGGGACTTCCGCCTGACCAGCTGCTGTCACCCTGTGCCAGCCTGGGGCTGGGGTGGGGGGTGGCGAGGAGGAAACACGGGGGTGCTGGTCCCTTGGAGGAGTAGGGGAGCCCCCCCTGTAGAACTATTGCTTCCAGTGTCCTTGGGGGTCCTTTGTGGGCGAAAGCTACACCCCCAAGACCCACGTTGGTCTGAAATAAATCGAAATACACGGTGCCCATACTAAGCTAGCCAGGGACACCAAAACTAACTTTTAGCTATAAGTTTTTCTTTTATAAAAACTTTTATCGAAGTAACGTTGGTTTGTTTATAACACCGTGTGCTTCAGGTGTACGGCATTATTACGCGGGATCCGTGTGCTGTCCTGGGCCCTCATCACTGCCAGCCTGGCGTCCACGGGTCGCCAGACATTCGACCTCCTTTACTCATTTTTGGCCACCACTCACCTGTCTTCTGTGTCTATGTTTTCGTCTTGTTTTGTCTGTTCGTTTTTTTAATTTTGTATATATATATATGTTCCCTATATGAACGAAATGTGATTCTTGATATTTCATGAAAGCATTGAGGTAGTCCTATGGGAGAAAAACAAACGTTTTATTGGGCTTTCCCCCTTATTTTAGTGGACACAGTGTTTAGAACTGTATCCTAGGGTGGAGGGGGGTGGGCACTGTGCTGGGCAGTGTTGGGGGACTGAAGGCCCCTGGGGGACCTCTGTGAACAGGCGTCTGAGGAACGGTCCTACGGGAATTCTGGTCGAGAGATTCTCTCCCTGTCTCATGCTTGGAGCATTTGTTTAAAGTGCCCTGGCCACGTTGATACGTATTCTCTCCCCTCATTAGAGAAGGTTTTCTATGTAATGACCACGACTTTCACCGAAAGTCACGGACCCTTGTCTCCGGTTGGTTTCGGGACCCTGCTTGGGGGCAGAGTGTCGTCCTGGTGGCCTACGCATGGCCTTTCATTCAGCAGCCCAGCCCTGCACGGGCTCGCAGAGCTGGCTCAGCTCCCGGCCCAGAGGAAACACAGTCTGCAGCTGCTGCCTGCGTGGAGACCGTCAGCCACCTCCCTAGGGAACCACCTGTGGCCCGTGTGCCAGACACAGAACCCAGGCCCAGCAGCTGCATGGTGTGCCGGCCTTCTCGACAGAGCCCAGGGTGCCCCCTGCCCCTGGCTGTGGGGTCCTCGTAATCGATGCTGCGCGTCCCTCCTTCTTTGGGGCATGGGAAGGAGGGACATTTCAGACAACCAGCACGCGCGCCTTCGCCCCAAAGCTGGCTTCCTTCTCCCTGGCAGTGCTGGCTGCTGGTCAGGCTATTTCAAGCCCTCGGCAACCCTGAGGCCAGCCCTTCCCTGCTCGTCCAGCCCTCCTCCCAGGGCCATGAGTGCGGACCCCTCAGGTTGGGGGGGGCACCTTCCAGCTGCGCCAAGCCGGGCACCAGCGGAGGAGTAAAGGGCAGGCACAGTGGCAGCCACCCCGTGATGGCCACGTGGCCCACCCAGGAGCGTGCTCATCGGCACCCGGGGCGGCCACCCTCGCCTGGTCCGGTCCTGCTTCCTTTAATACTTCCAACCGGCTGCTCCCACCTCCCCGGAACCCCGACTTCCGTCTCCTCTGCTTCCTGGGGTTCTGTGTCTGCTCTGCTCCCAGCTCCGAGAGTCCCGGGCCAGGCCCTCCGTGAGCTTCTGTTTCATCCGTAATGAAGAGCGAGGCAAATTGTCAGTCCTGGTCACTTACGAGTGGTGGCCTAGGAGGCCGTGTGAGAAGGATGCTGAGCCCTCATCTGTGAGGAGAGCTGTCGAGGGGCCAGAAGGAAGGGGGACGACAGACACGGCTGCCTGTCCTTTGCTGCCCTGGGGTGGACGGTGCTTCGCCGCCCGGGCATGTCCACGTCTGCCCGTTTACTTCCTCTAGAGGAGTCCATAACTACGACCCTCGGCGTCAGAGCCGAGGGGACCGCGCCCAGGGCGCACGGTGGCAGAATCAGCGGTCAGACTGGGGGCGGAGGTGACCGTGAGGGGTCAGGGTCCGAGGTTCTGGAACACGAACAGGATGGCTCACTGAGCTCCACCCCCCTCACCCGACCCTGAGTGGAGACCCCAGAGTCCCCCTCTGTCCCGCGGAAGCCACCGTGTGTAGGGACCACGTCCTAGTCAGCAGCGGAGCTGACTTGCGCCTGGATGGGGAGGGCGGCTGGAGCTCATGGCCGCGGCCCCGGCTCAGTTGCATCAGCCTGCCCCGCCCGCTTCCAGCAGCTGCGGGAGCCGGCGCCTTGCAGGGCGTGCGTGGCCGTGTGGGCCAGAGACCCTGAAGCGCAGTCTGGCCCGCGCGGCCACCGGGCCCTCTGGCCCCTGCTCTGCAGGCTCGCGCGGGACACGGCCACCGTGTTTGGGTCTGGGAGCCCCTTTTCACGCACGTTGCTTTTCTGCTTTGTCTCCGTCATCCCCCGATCGCCGCAAGGCTTGGCACAGGCTGGGGACACGGAATAACGGCTTCTGTGGTCAGTCGAGTTTCCCTCGTAACAAGGAGTTGAAGTGATGGTGACATGAGCCAGTGTCAGAGCCGGTGGAGCTCTAACTTGCTGTCCTAATTGATAGGATGGTGACGTCCGCTCACTGTGCATCTCAGGGAGCGTGGACTTTACGCGGAGATGGCCCAGGAGGTCGGTCGGCTTTCTCCGACCCGTCGCCCCTCCAGCCAGCTGGTCTTGGGGGCCCGGCCCCTTCCCTCCCACCCAGAGCCCCCTCCCTCTTGACTTTGCCTAGCAGAGAAGAGCTATAAACCAGCCTTCCTTCTGGGAGTGATTTAAAATTCACTATGAACGGTTGACTCACAGTCTAAAAATGTGCCCAGGGCATAGTTGTGGCGACCGAGCCTGGTTCGTGGACCCAGCCCGAAGCCTCGCTCGGCCTGGGCCTTTCTGCGGGCCTGTCCCGAGCACACGGCCGCCCGCGCCTTCCTGCCCACCCGCCGCCCTCGCCGTTCCCTTCCCGCCTTCGGCCGTGGGGTTTGGCCCGAGATGCGGTGGAGAGGATGGAGGGAGGAAGCCTCCCATCTGGAGAGGAATCAGTGTCCAGACGAGAAAGGAAATTGCTCCGAGATGATGGAAATGGGAGCCAAGCTGGACGGCCAAGTTAGATAGAGGGGGGCGGGGGCGGGGGGCACGACCCAGCGGGGCTCTGGGCCCCTGACACGCGGCTGGGGACAGGGCGTGAGGGGCACCGAGGAGCCCGGCTGGCGGACATCCTGGGTCAGCTGGAGGGGTGGGCACGGACGGGCCCCTGGGGACGGGGTGGTCCTTCCAGAGACGAGAGGGGAGGCCAAGGCGAAGGGACCAAGGCCGACGACGAGGACCGACCTCCGGCCCCATGCAGGGGCCACCCCGAGCCCTCCGAGCGCCGCCTTCGCCCAGGGGTCCTGCAGGCCCGTCAGCTGATGGGGAGACAGAGGGGGAGGCAGGAGGAGGTTGGAAGGGGCACCCGTTCCCCCATGGGTGCACGGAGTGTTCTGGCAAGGAGGGGCGTCCAGCCGCTCGGGGGGCGTGGCGATGACGGGAAGGTGGCGGGTCCCCTGGAAGACACAGAGGGAGCTGAGTCCTGCGGGCCGGGCGGAGAGAGCCAGGTCTGGGGGCGGGGGTGGGGCGGCTGCTCCAGGTGACCCTGGTGGGCAGAGGCGCTCTGGGGTAGAGGGGCGCCGGGGGGCTCAGGTGGTGGACAGAGAAATAGACAGTGGTGGGAGACGAGCGTTTAGGGTCGAGGGGGTTAAGATGAGACGTGGGGGCAGGAGCAGCCAGGCCCTGCTCAGATGAGGCCGGCGGAGCGGGGGCTGGTGGCGGGGAGGGGACCAGCCGGCTCCCCGCTCCTTGGGCCTCAGAAGAGTTTGGGCCAGACCCCGCCTTGACTGCAACCCTGCCCCTGGGGTTCAGTTCTCCCCCTGCTCTGCCCCTCCTCAGCCTGCAGTGAGGATCAAATGGGGCAACTTGTGTGATAACAGTTAAGTGGTCACAGTGTCGCGTGTGTGCGGGGCTGAAGCGGCTCCCAGTGGCGTGGGCCGCCGGGTCCGCCTTGCGGAGCCGTCTGTGAGAAGGGGCATCGCCTGGCAGGAGCCCAGGACTGAGCTGTGAGGATGCTGTCCCGCCGCAGACAAACTGCAGCTGGACCAACGCCCCGCGGAGCAGGGCGTCGCCTCGGGTGGGTCCAGGGAGTCCCAGGTGAGCCCACCCATCCGGCGCCCTCCCGTCCACTCGGAGGCTGACCTCCCCTGCTCTCCCGTCAGCCCCCTGGAGCCAACTGAGCGGCACACAAGGTGACATCCGCTGGCTCTGCTGGGACGAGCTGCGCAGACAGCACGGCACACGTGACGTGTGACCTCTGTCTTCTGAGGACAAGCTGAGGAATGTGCTCTGGGGCAGGATCGAGGGTCACTGGGCAGGCGGCGAGGTCCGGGCCGGGCATCTGGAGAGCAGACGCGAAGGGTGAGCTCACTGTCACGCTGGGCCAGCAGCTCCCCACGAGGCCACAGGAGCTGGCCGGGCGGGGTGCGGATCCAGGCGGGGCCGAGTCAGCCAGAGAAGCCCAGAGGGTCTGTGGTCCGCAGGCCACGCGTCTGGCCATGGGCGGTGTGCCCAGGGGCGGCAGAGGCTCCCACACAGGGCCTGGGTCCTCGGACGCTCTGGGCGCGAGAAAACTGGGGCCTCAGGAAGGCTGCTGAGTGTGTCAGGTGTGTCAGGCAGAGACGGAGACCCAGGGCTGGTGCCGTCATCTCAATTTCCACGGCTGCCCCGTGTGGGCTGTGGCAGTCGCTGGGCCAGCGTTTCCCTGGTGTGAATCTGTCCCTCGGTGGTCACCGTCACACAGCTGCTGCTCTCCGGGCCAGCAGCGGTTAACACCGCCCGGGCGAGGGGCGGCCGTGTGGCACACTCCTGTGGAAATGCGTTCGAAGGCGGTGGAGACAGTAGTCGTGGGGTCACAGGACCTCTGGCTCAGCGGCGGAACTGGTCGTGGGGGGACCTTTTGGAACCCGCCGATGAATTACCGAGTTCTGGAAGGAGGCGCTGAGCGCCCGCTGGGACAGCAGGTGAGGCCAGCCCGTTCGTCTGCAGGTGGGAGCGCGAGATTGGAGCAGGCTCCCGGGTCCCAGGGCGCTGGCTCCCCGCGTGGCTCTGAGGCCGAAGACATAAGCGGCAGAGCTCTCGCCGAGCCCGACTGCCATCTCCGTGACCGTCTCTGGGACGTGCTCTGCCTGGTCTCACAAGGCGAAACCAGAAGCCCGTGCAGGCGGGCTGCCGGTCCCCCCGGAGCACCCTCTGGGGGCCGGGCCCACCACAGGGACTTAGGGTCTCAGGAACAAGCCCGGCAAAGTCCACGTTCTCTGGGGGTCCTGCCCACCCACCGGGAAGGGTAAGTGGCCTTGTTCCGTCAGGTGCCAGGGGCAGGGGCTGGAGTGGGGGCTCTGGGGAGTCCCAGATGGCGTGGGAGAATGGGGACCAGAACCACAAAACACTGCCCAGTGGCAGCTGCTATCCACTGAGTCGTCCCAAACCATTTCAGAGGTGAAGAAATTGAGACCCACCTCCCCCAAGTTGCATGACAAGTGGCGGGCAGAGCATCTGTGAACCCAGCTGCTGGGCCAGTGAGGCATTCAGCACCTGACCGACGCCAGCCTGGAGTCTGCAGAGCCTCTGGCCCAGATGGCCTGGCTGTTTCTACGCATTGTGTGTCTGCAAAGAAACAGACTTACAGCAGAAGGTAGGGGCTCAGGAGTCCCCAGGGGGAATGTCCTAACAGGCAGGAAGTGAGCTGGAGCTGGGCTGTGCGCCTCACAGCCATGATCGGCAGCCCAGCCAGTCGGCTTTCTGGAACAGCCCCTTGGCTTGCCATGTGTGTAGAAGATGGAACAGGCCTACGAGGGAGCAGGGAGCACGTCAGAGGGCAGGTTTTTCTTCTCTTTAATCCCAAAGCCAAAGTACAAGTCCCCAGCCACCTCGTGCAGTTGGGTACCTGAGACGTTTTCATCTGAGATTCATCTCTCTTCTCCGCTGCTTTCCTGGCCGAGGATATAAATTTCAAGCTGCTGTGTGATTTGCAAGAACATGGTAGAAAAGGTTACAGGTTATGTAATGGCCCCCGCATCCCGTGGCTCCTGTGCCCTGGTCAGTGTGGCCACCTGGCCCCAGGTCCCATGCAGAGCTGGCCCCTGAGTGTTGGGAAGTTAGTACAGCTCATCCTGGGGGGCATATGCGCAGTGTGCACCCAGGGCTGGTGGCAGACCACCTCAGTGCAAATCCTCACTCCACTGCTCGGAACCGTGTGACCCTGGACAACCGCGCATCCCTGAACGTTGACTTCCTGGCTGGCACAGTCGGGTATCTGCAGCTGGGGACCGCTCGCTCTCCGCAGCCTATGCACACCCGCCTTTGCCCAGAAACCAACACGCCTCGGTTGGGTCCAACGCACCGCGCCCTCCCACAGGGGACTTTAGCGATGGTGGCCGATCTCTGAGATTCAGGGATGGACCCCACCTGGAAACATGAAAGGGCCCTCAGAGACCACGTCTGCAGACCCTAGGGGACAGTGCTGTGGGTACGGGAGCCAGCCAAGGGGTATTGCTGTTGGGACCTCGACAATAGCGGCAAAGGTTTATTCGGCATCATCTGGCGGCAGACGCTGTCCTAGTGCATTCTGTGTGTTATCTCCTGTCCTCATGATAATCTACCCAGTGGTCGTGTTCTTGTCTTCATTTTGCTTTGGAGAAACTGAGGCACAGAGGTGTTTATGACACTCATCCCAATTGCACATCTGGTAGATGGCGGAGCCGGGATTCTAACCCAGGTGATCTGGCTCCCGTGCTTTTGCCCAGGGCACAGCACCAGCTGGACCCCTGGCCGCGGAGGACGAGGGGGTCCGGTTCATGCGGCATTTCCGATACTTCTTGTTTCGTTTAGTGAGAGATCCGTGTTGTTCATTTGTTTTCACCCATGCGGTTGACCGATCGTTATCACAGCAATTGTCGAAAAGACTGCTTTCTCCATTGAATTGTCTTTACATCATTGTCAAAAATCAGTTAAATAACATAAAAAAATTCCTTGAGTATAAATCTAACAAACCACGTGCAGGATCTGTATGTGGAAAAGCACGGAGCATCGGTGAGTGAAATCAAGGTCTAAGCCTGTGGAGGAAGAGACAAGCCACAGACTGGGAAAAGTGATCACAAATTTCATGTCCAGCCAAGGACTTGCATCTGGACCATTTTAAGAAATCCTACAACTCGACAGTAAGAAAACAACCTAATTGAAGAATGAACACAGGATCTGAATGAACAGCTCACCGAAGAAGAAGGAGCATGGCCGATAAGCATATGAAAAGCGCTCGGCTTCGTTGCTCAGTAGAGAAATGTGAATGAAGACCCCGGTTAGGAGTGGCTGAAATCCGGAATGCAGACACCCCCAAGGGCTGGCCAGGACGTGGGGGCAGCAGGAAGTCCATTCATTGCTGGTACAGCCACTTAAGGAGACCATTTGGCAGTTTCTTCTGAAATAAAAAGACCCACCGTGCGACCCAGATCACGCTCCATGCAGTCGCCTACGTAAATCGAAAACCCGTGTCCGCAGGAAACCGCGCGTGAGTGCTTATGGCAGCATTATCCGTCCTCACTCCAGACTGGACGCAGTCACGATGTCCTCCAACGGGTGCCTAAACAGTGGTACATCCAGACGCTGGAATATTACGGAGGGATGAAGAGGAACGTGGTGTTTCATGCCATTAATTCATGCGATATGGTGGGTGGGCGACTCTTAAACGCATCTTGCTGAGTGAAAGGGGCCGGACAGAAAGGCTACATGTTAGTCACTCCAGACTGGACGCAGTCACGATGTCCTCCAATGGGTGCCTAAACAGTGGTACATCCAGACGACGGAATATTACGGAGCGATGAAGAGGAACGTGGCGTTTCATGCCATTAATTCATGCGATATGGCGGGTGGGCGACTCTTAAACGCATCTTGCTAAGTGAAAGGGGCCGGACCAGAAAGGCTGCATATTACGTGATTCCACTTGTACGACATTCTAGAAAGGGCGAAACTCTAAAGATAGGGCACAAATCAGAGGTGGCCCGGGGTTGGGTGCTGGGGAGCGGCAGGCTGAGAAGGAGAGGCCCAAGGGTTCTCAGGTGGTGGATACACAACACCGTGTCTTTGTCACACCCCATATGACTTTGCAGCACAGGGAGTGGACTTTAAGGTATAAAATTAAAAAAAAACAATCAATCAAATGTGAAGGGATCCCAGGATGGAACACAGACTGTGACAAAAGACTCTAACTGTATTACATATACAATTCAACACCTCTGAAGGGAATGGGGAAAGACAGTGACCTAAGTCACTGAAGAAGATGGCATTTCGACTAGAAACAGCGAGGCTCCGACAAAAGGAACTATGCACAACGCCGGACTAGTTGGTGTAGTTGCTCTGCATGGGGTATGAGCTGACATGCGTGCCGCGGGGACAAATAAGCAAATATGCAATGAGTAGCGGAGTCTAGGATTCTCACCCTTGGAGGGGGAGGTAACAGATGAGCAAGGGGAAAGGCTAGGAAAACAACCTTTCGGTGCTGGATCAACGTCGGAGACCTTAGCTTAAAGTAGATACAGACGGACAGATTCCGAAGTAACGAAGACACGCGTCTGTACACTTACTAGTTTACCCACCTCTCTCTCCTACCTCTGTCGGCCGAGAGGATGCAGAGGCAGTGAGCACACTCAGCGCCCAGACTTTGGTCTCTAACGCCACCTCGGATGAAAAAAACTGGGGCTCTTGGAGAAGGGGCCGATTCTAGGGCTGGGGCGGGAAGTACGTGAGATGAGTCTGGAGCATCATACAGTGCCGGAAAGTAGGAACGTGCTCCAAGGACTCAAGGCTGGGAGCAGGTCAAAGGGACAGAGTCAACCCGGAAGGGCGCGCAATGGCCAAAGCCGGAAGAAATTCGGCAAAAAAAAAATAATAATAATAATAAATAAAGGAGGATTGAGGGGTAGCCCAAAGTATGAAATAAACATTTATAACTCCATCCCGATATAAATAAGTAAACGAATAAATAACCGAGTGGGGAGAGGAGGTGCGTCTCTCGCACAGAAGATTCCGGGTGATTTGTACGGATACTCGTGTCCACCCCACCCCACCTCGTGTGTGGGCTGCACGTAGTGACGTCCTTCCAAAGGGGACAGTTTGGAGGGGGAAAGTGTAACTTCATGGAAGGGAAACCTGGCAAGCACAACCTCGGCCAGGTGATGGAGGTCGAGACCAGCAGGGGCAAGTCGTGGTGACAGCACAGACCATTGACACCCCGTGGTGAGAAGGATGCTGCAGACTGTGAGAAAAAGCCGTAACGAATCTCAGTTGAGGGGAATTTTCTAAAACTCCCGGCCAGTCCTCCTCCAAACGGCTCAGTTCATCAAAAACAAGGAACGTCTGAGAGACAGTCACGGCCCAGAGGAAGCTGAGGAGACGTGACGCCTAAATGCCATGTGGTGTCCTGGACGGGGTCCTGGAGCAGAGAAAGGGCATTAGGGAAAAACTGGGGAACTCGGGACAAGGTGTAGCGTTTAAACTCCCAATGCCAGTTTAGTGAATCATGCCCCGGCGTGACTGCTCGGTTCTGGGCCTCGGTAAGGGAAGGTGTGAACGATGAAGAAGACTGGGTGCCAGGTCTCTGGGGACCCTCCGCTCTGTCTGTGCTATTTTTCCATAAAATCAAAACTATTCTAAAATTTAAAGTGCATTTTACAAAGCAGTTGGGAATATTCCATTCGTGCGGCTGTCTTTCTGGGCTATCTCGACCTCTCGGTACCCCAGTATTTTTGCTCATCAAACAGGAAAGTCGTACCTCCCTTGAGGGGTCGCGTGAGGATTAAATGAGCTAGTGCCGAGGACAGCTCCTGGCACGCGGTCGTGAGTCCCCCAGAATGGCCAGTTGTTATTTTTTTGCAGTTGGCACGTGATCAAGATGTGTCAAAGGAAAATCTCAACGATGGTGGCATCTGACTCCCGTTTCATCGAAACCACTTACCAGAGGACCTGGCCGTCGCGTGGTGCGCGCAGGGGACCGTGCCAGCTAGGTGCACGTGGGCGGTGGCTCTCGTCCCGGCCCGCGTCCGTGGACGGCGTGACCACGTTTGTCCCTCTTGGCTCACGGGACTGTGCAAGGCAGGGGCAGAGGGCAAAGCCTTGGGCATTGTGTTAGATGGCCCTGGGGGCACTCACTGCCATCCCCCTGGTCTGCAGCCTCATCATAAAAGGAAGACAGGTGTTATTACCTCCGAGCCCTGCAGCGGACATTAAGAATGACAGGAATGGAACTTGATCGAGGTGGCGAAGCGGGAGCCTGGGGACTCTGCCTCGCTCCTAGAGGCAAGAGGGGGTCATTGCTTCACGCTGTTCACTCATCCGCTGTGCCCTTGGAAACTGGCTTCGAAATGCTGTCGTGACGTGCCCACCAGGTGATCGGAAATTAAAGCACCTGTCGATACCAGGTGTTGGCAAAGACGCAAAGCTTCGGGACCACCTAACCTCCGCCAGCAGGAGCGGGAATGGGGACATGGGTTGGCATGGTCTGGCCCAGCCGGAGGACGCCTGCCCCGGAAGCAGTGAGCCCACCACTAGAAACAGCCCAGCAGGCCCCGTGCTCACCTGTGCCAGGTGACAAATACCAGGGGGTCAGAGCAGCTCTGCCAGAGCCTCAATGCCCACCCAGAGAAAAACGGTCAAGTCGAGTGTGTCGTATGCAACGAAACAGCACCCCGAGAAAATACACGGTGACGAGAAAACAGGAAGACCCCCCGACCCCGCGCGCGCGCACGGACGGACAAACCGAACCCCGCGACACAGCGCGGATCGCCTCGAAATGGGGTGCGGGATGGAAGCCCCGGACATAAAAGATGACTTACTGTAGGGTTCCGTTTACGCCACATTAAAACACAGACAAAAGTCCACTCTGTTGTTAGGGCCGCATAACTAGGGGCAGCGGCCGCGTCCGGGACGGGGGGCCGGTGCCCGGGGGGCCGGGAGGGGCAGCTGCGGTGCTGGCCGTGGTCTGTGTCCTGCCTCGGCTGGTGGGTACGCAGATATTTGCTTTCTAATAATATGGACCCTCTTTTGTATGTCATGTTTCAGAATTAGAATAATTTTAACGTTTCAGGTAACGGGGGTGCTGAGGCAGTTTGAGTGCCCTTGAACGCGTCCTAGAAGATGACGGACGGGGGCCCCGGGGGCCTGTTCATAACGCACTCTGTGGGTAGCGGGGGCGTCTGGGACGAGCCGGAAGGGGCAGGCCAGTCTGCGGGTGGTCGCGGCTCTGCCCCTGGGGCCTTCGACGCAGTCAGCAGGTGCAGGCTGCCCTGGGTGGGGCCGGGGGACAGCTGGGCAGTGAGCGCCCTTCTCACGGATCCGGTTGCTTGTTGGCCGCTCTCCCTGCTGTGGACAAACACGTGGCCTCGGCCTCCACGACACCTGGGGCGGTGGCCAGCACACGGAGATCCCGGCTGGAAGGTGGACGGAGGTGCGGGGATGAGCCACCACCTGCTTGCATTAATCAGGAGACAGGCCGGCCCGGGGTTTGGAGACACCTGCGTGAACGGGCTGGGGTGGGTGCTGTTCTATGACTCGGGGCGCAGGCCGGACACCGGGCGGCGTGTGTCAGCGATCGCACGTGGTCTGCGAGATCCTTGAAGGACCGCGTGCTCTAGATAGGGCAGATCTGTTTCTCGCTCCTGTGCAAACAGTCCCGGGCAGGTTTGAGAGTGCGTCAGGGTTTCCGCAGACACTCCGGGGGCTGGCTTGGTGCTGCTGCTCGCCCGTGAGAAAATGGTTTGTTAAGACGAGGCCCCAGGTTTGCAAACTCAGAGTTAGCAGTTGCCCAGATTAGTGAGTGAGGGTGGTTATCTTTAGTTTTCCTTAAAGAATACAGTGCTTAAGGGAATAGAATTGCAGTAAAGCATCAGGGTTAAAAGCACTGGCTTTGGATTCAGAAATACGGCCTGTCCATGACTTTGGGGGTCTCCAGAGCATCTTCCCGCAGCCCTGCACGTGCGTCCCGTCTCTGCCCCACGGTGAGCGTTCCCTGGGGCTGCTGGGACTAGAAACAACACACGTGTGTGCTCCCAGCCCCGGAGGCTGGAAGTCCGTCAGTCACCTAGCCCAAACCGAGATGGTCCGGAAGGGCTGGTTCCCCTGGAGGCTCCAGGGGAGAATCTGTGTCCCTGCCCTTTGCAGCTTCCAGAGACCACCACAGCCCTTGGCTCGTGTCCCCTCCTCCGGCTTCAAAGCACGTCGTTCCAACATCCCTGGGTCTCCGTGGAAAGATCTGGCCAGCAGCCCTTCCCCCACTTCAAGCCCGAGGCCACTCTGGCCTCCTGAGTGCCTAGGCCCGTGTCCACTCCGGACCGGCCCTCCTTTGCGAGTCCACGTCTGGGCCGGCCTCGTCCCGGGCAGCGAAGGCAGCCTGGATCTGCACTCACCCAGCTGGAGCACCGCCTGGTTGCCCGGGGGACTCCGAACGCTGTTTCTGGACTGGGCCCTGCTTGGCCCCAGCGGCACCTGTGTCTCCCCACCGTCTCCCAGGTCTCTAGGAAGAGGGTAGCTGGGTCGGGGCAGGTGTGTGCGCCCCTTCTCGGTGCTCTGCCTGGGGCCCTTGCCTGAGCACGACCATCCAGGCGCCAGGTGGCTGCGCCCCAAGACGCTGCTAGGGAGAAGCGTCTCTAAGGGGCCTGCCACGGACGAGAGATCAGACGTGAGCGCATCGCCTCACCCGAGAACCTGAGGCCGCACAGTGACTCCGAGAGGGCGGTGGTCTTGCTTCCCGTGCGGGCTGCCCTGGGACGTGGGCGGTGAGGGTGAGGACACAGGCCGCACACCACCTGTGGCCCTCCCCACCGCCCTGGGGGCCGGAAGCTGACTGCACAGCTGGGAGCAGCACTCGAGGTCACAGAGGGCAGGGTGGGCTTCCGAGGGCTGGGTCCATGGGGTGTGCCTGCATCTGTGCGCTTGGCGATTTTCTTGGGGAATGATCCCCGACGTTCACCATCGGGTCAAGAACGGCAGTTTGGTGGCCTCGTCTTCGTCCTGCAGGTGTGCTGAGGCCATGCAACCAAGTACAGGGTCCCTGGAGCCAGTGAGGAGGGCGGGGCGGGGTCAAGGCCGCCGAATGTCCCTCCTGGGCCAGAGATTCTGGATCCTGACCTCTGCTCAGAGCATGTCACCTGCTTGACGGTGTCATTCCAGCAAGTCCCGTAGCGACTTCCGGTTTCCTGCGGGGACTCACAGCATAGGATGCCAGTCACGGTCTGTCATTTGTGGATTTTTGTCCCCGTTGATGATGACTTGTGAGAACGTGTCTCTGACAGGGTGGTGTGAGGGTCAAAGCCCCAGCCCCTCATGCGGGAGCCGGGAAGGCTCCACGCCTCCCTTCAAAGTGGCACCCGCACCTGTGGGTGTGACAGTCTGGTCCCCGTGTCCGGTGACGCTGGCGGATCTAAGTGCCAGCAGAGATCTCTCCAGCCCGTTCTTGGAGGGGACAGGACCAGGCCACACTGGCCTCTGCTGCTTGGTTGGGTCCCTTGGATGGTGTGGCCCAGGGGATGGAGAGGGACAAAGACACTGACCCCCACAGAGCTGGCCAGTTCCCCCAAATCAGATTCTAGTGTTTTCTGCTCCCTGCAGAAATGTTCCCCGTGCTCCCAGTGCCTATGGAATAAGGGGGTTCGTGTCTGGCAAGGTCGAGCTCTTGGCAGCTCAGCCCGGGCGGGTGTTGGGAGGGAAGCGGAGGCCTGAGCAGAGCTCGGGGTGAGCCCCGCAAAAGAGGAGGGGCTGGGGCGTGGGGAGCAGGGGGTGTCCTGTGCAAAGGCTCGGAGGCCAGAGGCGGCAGGGCGAGCTATGGGGACCGAGCGCGGTTCTGCTCAGCTGGGTCGGGCCCAGGGCTGGGTCGCCAGGAGTATGAGACGAGCTCACACGGACCCCGAGGGCAGTGGCAGCCACAGCACGTTTCCACATGCCCCTGGGACTCGGGCGAGGCCTGCGAGGTCTCGGGCGCAAAGCTTAAGGAGTCACCACTATCACAGCTGCGAAAGTGCGTGAGGCTTCAGCGGGCGCTCTAGAAAGATGGCCTTGGGGAGGTCCGCAGGTGGGCAAGCCTGGGGCTGGGGGGGCAGGCGGGTCGGAAGCCCCTGCTGGAACCCGGGACTGACGGGGAATAGAGGGCAGACAGGGCTGTGAGTGGGTTTGGGGGGATGTGGACAAAGGGGATGGCAGAGCTGAAGGTGAGGGTGGGCCTGGGCTTTGGCCCGGGCAGAGGAGAGGACAGAGGGCCTGTCTGCAGTGACAGAAACCACAGGGAACCACGAGATTTGGGGCACGGATGAGGTCGGAGAACTGCGAGGCTGGCGGAGGCCCAGGCGTGGCGCCCGGGGGAGGGGCAGGAGGAGGCCCTGGGCGACGTCCAAGGAGGAGATCCTGGGGGGAAGGACCCCTCGAGCCCAAGGGCAGGTGAGTCCAAGGACCAGGCAGCGGCCGGCTGCGCCGAACGCCGTGGAGACAACAGCACCGGAGCGGGGCGGGCCGGCTGCCTGCGCTCGTCACGGTTTTTATTTTCCGTATCTTACAATGCTTCGACATCTCGGGGACCTGGCCTGCTGGGAGGAGACTGGCCCTCCTCAGACAGGGGGTCAATTCCTAGAAAGAGCAAACGAGTCACCTGTGAACACGCCCCTCAAGTGCAGACCCACGGACCCAGAGCCCACAGCCTCCACCCCGCCCCACGCACGACGACAGGAACCAGACAGCTAGAGACAGCCCACCGGAGCTAGACCCGCACGCCAACGCCAAGCTCGCTGCCTCCCGCCTCCCCTGAGTCGCCCGGTCCCTTCTGAGCCGCCCCGGTGCTTCCCCGTGTGGCCCTGCGTGGCACGGCCTGGCGTGGCCCCTTCTCTGGAAAGCTGCATTGATACACCCTTCCTCAATGTCATCGGTGCTGGCACTTGGTCACCTTTATAAATTAAATTCCAGGGATCATCGTGAAGCGTGGCCCAGTTCACCCTTCCCGGGCGGCGAGGGTTCCTCCTGGCCTGCTTCTCACGGAAAAGCCCAGGCTCCCCGGCCGGCCCCAGGCCTCACTCCAATGGACCAGGCACGGACCAGGCACGGACCGGGTCCCCAGCGAGAACACGCTGCTCCTCCTGACCTCCCCGTCTCTCCTCTCCCCCGCCCCTGCTGGGGGCCTGCTGGGAGTCCAGACGCTGACTGACTCTTTCCTGGTGTTTTTCCTTAGTCTTTTGGCCAAAAAATGCCCCAGGATAATGAAGAAATCTATTTACAGTAGCGATATTCAGTCTGGTGGCTTCTGGAATGAATTAGCCATGGGAGAATTTCTGAGCGTGTTTTTTTTCTATTCGCCAAACAGCAGAGCCGAGGTGGGAGCGAGCTGTCGGCCTCCAGGGGTCCCCGACGTTCTCGATCCGTTATCTCGAACCCCGCCCAGACGCCGTGACACGCCTGCCCGGCCGCTGGCTTCGCAAGCCCGGTGCTTTAGTTACCCGAAGCCACTGGCTGACCCAGAGATCACAGGATGCCCGGCCTGGAACGGCTGGCTTTCGGTCCCTTTAATTGTGTCCCTCTGCCTGCTGAGCTATCCGCATTCTGAAAGCGACTTATTTATATCTGCTCCTCGAGGCGGGCCCAGTGAGACGCCCGGCTGGCGGTGCCCTCGGCCCCTGGTCTGCGGCCAGCTATTCGAACCGACTTGGATTCTTAGAACAAAATAAAACTGTCTCCGTTTCAGATGTGCGCTAGTTCACACTGGCCCTGGGCCTTGGGCAGCGTGTTTCTGAGGACTTTGTCTGCGGCCGGCTCTCCCGGCCCCCGCCCCGGGCCTCCGTGTGGTGCGAGGGGCAGAGGCGTCATTGGCGGTGAGGCCGGGTCTCCTGTCGTCACGTGTCACGGGAGCCCGGCACCTGCTCTGCCCCCTCCTCCGGCCCTGCTGCCCCCTCCGGGCTGGCCTCCAGGGTCCCTTGGGCTCCTGACTGCATGCGATGCTTGTGCGACTCGGGACTCGGCCTCGGTTGGGGCCACCCCGCGTGGACAGTGCCGAGCGGGGCCCTGAGCCCGTCTCTCATGGAGGTCCCTCCTGGGCACTGGGCAGTGTCGCGCCCACCACGGCCGCCTCTGCCGGGGCCTGGGGCTTCTCTGGGAAGAAACGGGTCACTGCGTCTGCTCTCGGGCCCGGGAGACACCTGGCTGTGGGTGGTCAGCCACCTTTAAGCCATGCCGCCTTCCCGTGCACCTTTAAGCCATGCCGCCTTCCCGTGCCCCTCCTCCGCATGCGCCCGTGTCCGTCCCGTCCTTCACCTGGCTGGCCCCTTCTCACCGGGCACCGCCACCTGGGGACCCGCCATCTGCTCCTCTGCGCTGACCTGCATGGTCCCTGCGGTCATAGCTGCTGCCTGGCCGTCCACCAGCCAGCCTGGGCCCCACCCTCCTCCCACTCCAGAGCGCGGGGGGCCTGAGACGCTGACCCGTGAGTAACGGAGCTGGCCTCCGCTGGGGAAGGCCGCTCATCTGCACACGCCCTCGTTCCCCTCATCCTGCCTCTCTTGACGACGGCGGGCATCTCGGGCAAAGACCCCTCCCCGCTTCCCACCTCCCCGTCTCTCTCTCCTTTCTCACTCGGCTGGCCTCCACAGCGCTTAGTGTAAAGCTCGACACATACGATGTGCTCGGCATTTTGTGGACGACGGGGTCAGTGGCAGGCCTGCCCGGGCCCCCGCGAGGACTCGGCCCGCTTGCGGCCTCCCTGGGCCTGTCCCGGAGGGGATGCTGGGTATGAAAAGCCTCCTTCCTGGGCTGCTGCACCTGGGCTGTGACCCTCTCACACGCCACCTGCGTGCCGAGGAAGGCACCACCGGCAGCGGGAGAGCCAGCGTGCCCAGCGTATGCCGGGCGCAGGCTCTCTGACGGGCTGTGAGGGCTGCACGGTGCACAGTCCCCGGGTCTGTGCAGAGACCGGGGTGTGACGGGTGCCCCAGAGGTGTGCAGTGACGGTTGGCACCTCTTAAACCCTGGCCCTGCTAAGTGGGCCCACCATCTCCGTCCAGGAGCACCAGGGAGCCAAGGATGTGTCATGGGCCGGACATGTCTCCCCAGACTCCGTGTCGAAGCCCTGACCCCCAGCGTGATGATGTTTGGGGGCGATCAGGTTTAGGTGAGGTCCTGGGTGGGACGGGTGTCCTTATTGGTGTCCTGCAGCTCTCTCTTCACCATCTGAGGACACAGAGAGAAGGTGGCCATGTGCCAACCAGGAAGTGGGCTGTCCCCAGGAACCGAATAAGCTGGTACCTTGATCTCGGATGTTCTGTCTCTTAAGCCGCCTGGGGCCGCCGCGTTTTCTGACGCAGCCCGAGCCAGCTAAGACAGATGGCCGTGAGTGGCCACGGCCGTCCCAGCCTCGATGCCTGCGTCAGAGCTTCACACAGTCACACAAACGTTTACCCCCCCAGGTGGCTAAGATTGAAGGGGAAAGTTCTAGGTTAAGAATCCGGAAACTGGACAGAACCGGGGCCTCACACGAGCCACGCCCCCGCGTGCCTCAGTTTCCCTGCCTGTAAAACGAGACCGAACTGCTCCGTGTGTGTGATCTTGGGGGAGCTGGGGGTGAGCATCGGCCCGCCAGCAGCGTGGGCGTCACTGTCCTGCCCCGCGGCCTGTCACAGGCGGCGTCTCTCGGGGGCAGGCCCTCCCACCGTGTCCTACGGGGACTCGGCCGAGCTTTGGACGAGCACGGCTCCCACCTTCCCCCTTCCCCCATCACGCCAGGGGAGAGGGAGCCTGCATCCTGCATCCCAGGCTTTCGTGCCTTCGTTCGAAAGCTGGGAGGGTGTCCCTTTATCTCTCCTTCCATCTTCGATCGTTTCTGCCTTGAAAACATATTCACAAAAGACTGAGATCGAAAAGAACATGTTTTTCTAGTCTTCGAGTCTCGTTCGAGTCCAGCCTCCCCAGCCCGCCTTCTTGTAAAGAGCGAGCCTATCACACACGCACATGCGTGTGCGCGCGCACACACACAGACACACACACACACACACACATGTCTACGTCCCCGAGCGCTGGTGGTTGCTGTCGGCTGCAGTCAGGCTCTGACAAATTGCTGGTTAGAAAAAGCCACATTCGGCCGTGGAAACTTGCATTGGGCTCCCGTTCCGCCCTAACCCCACATAAGGACACATGTGCTTTCTGTGTCTCCTGTGCCAGAGACGGTCCCCTTGGACAGGAGTGGCCAGCGCGCTCAGTGGCCGTGGAATCCAGGGCACGGCCGCTCCCTCTGAGTCACAGCCCACGCGGGAGGTGACCAGGCCACACGTGTCCCCACGGCAGACTGGAGAACGGAGTGGCAAACATGACGACCTGGAAGAGGCAGCTTGTCCTGTCTGTGCCCAGCCTGGCGGATCCAGCAGAGTCTGCAATTGTCGTCAGCCCACTGTCTCCAGCGCGCACTGCCAGCTTGTTACTAGGCTGCTTGGACGGGGAGAGAGACCAGAAGCCTCGGAAGGCCTGTTTTCCATGAGCAAGGAGCTCTCTGGGCGCCAAGGGGCTGGGGAACCCAGGGGCCTGGCTGATGATTTCAGGGGTCTGGATGCTCCATTCCGGGGGAGGGTGAAACCCCAGACGTGGCTGCTTCTGTCTGTTCCTCTGAGAAAGGAGGTCGTTCTTTCCTACGGCATCTAAAACTTGTGGATTCTTCAGACGTATGAGCTGGCTGCTTGGGCTTCGAGCTACGTCATGCTTGTTGTCTGGCCTGAGAGAGAGAGGGAGGAAGGGAGGGGGGAGGAAGGGACTCAGAGACGAAGAGACAGAGACAGAGAGACATGCAGAGAGAGACAGAGAGACACATCCAGAGACAGACAGATAGCGGGGCGGGGTGGGGGGAGAGCACGCGCTGTAGCTCCAGCCTCCCGAGACGGGTCGGGGGAGATGCACGCCCCGTGTCCTGGGGCTTTTCGATGGGAACCCAACTCTGCAGCCTGAGTTCTGTCACATCTCGAGCTTCAGACAAAAACAAGTTACTTCTGAAAGATGAACAGGAATCAGGGATGGAGACAATTAGACGATCTCGTTTCTGCCAGGTTGTAATGTCAGTGATCCGCAGGCGGTCGGGCCCCTGCTTCCATGGGGTGGTGACTGGACAGCAGAAGACCACGTCCCCATGGTCAGCGGGGCG